AATTAAATGCTAAGACAAGAAGAATTTCAATAATTCAGTTACATATATTAAGCTAAAAGGTAGGAAATAAAATATTTTTGTCATTTTTGCACCATATAGTGTAAATACATGAACACTAGGCAATCTTCATTTTAAATTTATTCAATTTTTAGTTGAATTGAATAAATTTAAAATGAAGATTGCCTAGTGTTCATGTATTTACACTATACGGTGTTCAAAACAACAAAAATAATCACCGACACGGTTTCAAGAAGGTAAAATAAATAAAATATTTTTAAAAAAATGCTTTTATTCACATAAATGCACTAAAAAGTAAAAAATAAATTTTCTTCAGCTCTCACAGTATTCTTGGTATTATGTGATAAAAAATAAAAGGATATAGCATTCATGCTTAGAAATATTCTTAGTAATGCATTCTATCAATTTTTATGAACTTCCAATGAATGCTGCATAATTTTATTTTTGGTTGCATAATATCAAGAATACTGTAAAAGCTAAAGAAAGTTTATTTTTTAGTGCATTTATGTGAATGCAAAACATTTCTTTAAAACTTTTTTATACACAGTAGTCTGTAATCCAACGTACATCAAACTGGCAGGTGTTGAATTACAGCAGTTGTCGGATTACTGGATTTGGTATGTGTGTACATACTGTACTGTAAAAAACACTTTGTTCACAGGTTACTTCATCCTATATTTTAATCATGATTGTGATTGTTTTTCCCAAAATTCATGTGTAACAGACAATTAGCAACTGATAATATATACATATATCAGTCTATCTGTCACATATACAGTAAACCTCTCTATAACACGGGTTCATATAACACAGATTCATATAACATGGCGGAAAAATTGCAATAGTGTTCGTATAACACACTAAAACAGGCTCGCATAACACGATAAAACAATGAGACAGATTGTCATGGCCAACTCATGTCGCAACAGGATTGGTCAAATCTGGACCAATAGTGGACATTACACAAACCGTTGAGTTTAAACAAGCAGTGGACCTACTAAAAACCATTTATTATTTAACGGCCATAAAAATTATATTTATATTAACGATGTCTCCAAAGTTCAGCAAATTTTTTGTAGAAAAATAACTTATCAGGAAACATGCACCTGCCATTCGATGAGCTGCTCTGCGACGAAAACAAGCTTAAGCAATGGTGTCTTCGAACGGTGCGCACTCGGTAAGTAATCCTACAATTTTTGTTTATAGCATAGTTTATATGGATTATTTCCGAAAAATTATATGTGTTTTGGAAATGATGAGTCAAATTAGTCTAGAATCAATTAATTTTATGGAAGAAAATCTTTCAAACAGCCATAGCCGCTAAACTGCACACGTGACAGGCTGTGATTGGCTCATGTATTTAAGTGATTCGTACAACACAGAATTCATATAACACGGAACATATTTACCGTGTTATGGGGGGTCTACTGTACCCAAGGTCTGTATAAGAAGGTCAGGACACGCTGCCATGATTCTATGCGGCAGCGGCCATTTTGGGACTCATCGATAGAGCTCACCATACGTGGTTCTTGCATGAGTCGCTATTATTACTTATATACGTACTCAAAAACTTTAAGCAATGGGTTATTGTGTTGCACCTAATTGTAAAAGTAAGTCTACCGACGTTCGATTGTTCAGATTTCCTGCAGATAAGCAGAGGAAAGCAAAATGTAGCCTAGGCATCAACTGATGGTTCATGATGCAGTTCAAAGAGTTTATATGTTTGAAGTTTGTAACAAGTGGTCTAAACGAGTAGATACTCTTCGTGTCCATGAACGAACTATACATGGAAATTTATAAACGATATTGGCAATCCAGATATAAAGCAAATGTAATTTTTTCATTTTTCTATCTGGTGATAAAATAATTAAGCATGTAATTGTTTTAATATGACCATATTGTATTTAAAAATAAAATTATGATGGTATTGACTTATACTCTCAATATTTATGAATAAAACATTGCAAAAAATTTAGTTTAATAGTAATTTATACTTAATTCAACTTAAATAAAATTTACATTAATTTTATTGTCAGAATTTTTATTTTAAAAGACGTGATGGAAACCTAAATGTATCTAATCCTTATAATCTAGAGATTCCATAATATTTAATTGATTTTATTTATATTTAATTTTTTCGTTTGCATTTCAATAATTATTTTCCACTGATCATTCAAATCTTTTATCCTGAACATTTAAAAACAGATTTTATTTAATTAAAGTAAAATTGACTATTTAATTGTAAAAAAGAAAATTTTAGCATTATTTTGCTATGGCAACAAATATTCATATTTTGTTTGAATACATT